GTTTATGCAAATATAATTATAAGGGGAAAAAAGGAGAAAAACAAAGATTTACTGTCCCTCTCTGCTTCCCTTTCCTCCTGCAAACATGAACTCCACTTGCTCTAGGCACCTGGAGTATTACAAATGTAAATTGTAATAACTGGAGCCTACAAGTTATTGTTGGGTGATGGACTAGCCCCTCGTGCCTGAGACTGAGGCTCCCCCAGAATGTAGGGCGAAATCCAGCCAGGAAAGGAGGAGAGCCCCAGGGGGAAAATTCCTACACTACAGGGCACAACAATGGCTTGAAAGTAAGTGTGAACAAGGTGCTTCAGAGCCCTGAAAGAGGAAAAAACCAATTCTAAGGCGAAGGAGGAAGCTTTATAAAAGAATTTGCATTTGAGTAGGAACTCAGCAAACAGGGAAGGGTCCACACGAAGAAAACACATTTGCAAAGTCACAGAGGTAGAACAGTATCTGAAAACACTGAGGAAATACCAAGTAAGAAGATTAGGGCCGTGAGGGCTGGGAACTCAGGAGAAACAAGGCTGGAAATTACACCATGAAAGTTTGTGATGGTGCTTTGGAAATAGTAGTTATTTCATACTTGCTCTGTCATGATCTTTCAATGCATCTGAATTTAAACAGGCAAAGTATAAGAGATGGAGAAAGTGAAAAGGGCCTGTCTTGAGAACAAAATCCCTGTTGGTGGAACAGAAAAAAATGCAGTTGTTCAAGGATATTTTAAAGAGACAACTGGTAGGAGTGAATAATGAATTCATGGTGGCAACCAAGAGAAGAAGACATAAGAACATTTTCAAGGTTTCCACAAGACCTGTGATCGTGATCATGTTAGTAAAAGGATTTGGGAACACCGGCGGAAGAACATTTCTTTTTGGTAAGGAAGCTAAGAAATAAATTCACTATTGAGTTATTCACGTTTAGGGGCCTAACCTAGATATCACTGTGAAACAAACCACCCTACAACCCTTTACTTTTTCTCAGGAGTCCATGTCAGCTGGGCTCAGCTGTGAGCTGCTGGTTGAAATAGCAGCCGAGGCCAAAGTTAAAGGCCGGCCTGCTTGGGCTTCACTCAACTCAGTAAGATGGTCTCAAGGTAGTTGCCCTTGGATGGCGCCTGGCTTCCAAGAGGCCAACAGCAGAAGCTAGAAAGCCAACAGCAGAAAGGCTGGGTCTGGACCTGGCATTGCATTACTTGCATAACATTGCCTTACACGTTCCTGTGCAAGTGGTCCCAGGCCAGCCCCGGTTAGGGGGCTGGGAGGAAAAGCCCCACCTCTCAATGGGTACGGTCAACAAAAGTGCAGCCATCTTTCCCCTGCCCCAGTGCTCGTGGAAGGCACATGTGGAGACGCACCGGGGGACCGACCATCGTGAACCCCAGCCTGGCTCTTCAGAGAGAAATCAGAATTGGAAACAGGGGTTGAGGAGTTTTCTGAGGGAAAGCCAGGGTGGATGAGAGGTTTTCACGGAATTGAGAATGAAACAGGTCTACATTCAAAAAACGCGTTTGTTGGGAGAAGCCAAGAAAGAGGCAAACTCTAACAGCCAATCAGGAGGGCAGGGGAAGACTGAAGCTCCTAGCAGTTGCCCAGGACAAAACAGAGGAGGGGGGGACCGGGCTGGGGACTGCGGGGCCAGCAGAGAAGGCGGAGTGAGCGCCGGCGCCCCCTGCCGGATGGGGGCTGGAGGCTGACGCATTGAGTGGGATTTGCCAGTTTTCCCAGGCGTGGGGAGGGGTCCAGTAGCATGGAAGACAGGGACAAAGGGGGAGGACCGGACGGTGAACGGCACCTTTGGCTTCGGAAAGGGAGATGAGACCGGAAGAAGTAAGCAGAGAATGGTGTGTATACTGAGGTGTCTGGGGAGGCGTGAGGGCTACAGGATGTCTGGGTGTCACTGTAAAGATGGAATTAGAATCAGGAATTCTTCCTCCTCAGAACATCTACAGGACATTTCTTCAATGTCAGTATGGGTGCGCAAAACTGAAATTCAAAAGAATTGGAAATATGAAGACAAGGGGTTGCAAAAGCCAGGATTTGTCTGTTTGCTTTATCATCTCCCCTCATTATCTTGGTTTTAACCGTGCATTATCAAGTGAATTGAAAAGAAGATGTCATAAAGATAAACAGTTTAAGGCAGGAGGGTGTCACATGCTCACTTACTTTTGGAAAAATAGGGAACTAGCTATACTAAATGATAGTTAAATCTATCTTTATCTTGTGATATGTAGATGGTAATTGGCTTTTTTCCATCTTTTTTTTCCATGTAAATATCTGTTTTAGGAAAACTGATTAATTGTATGACAATTTGAACATATCTAGGTATGTATACAGACTTCCTGCATAGAGACAGAAATTCTTTGACAGAAAAATTCTATGAATTAAGAGTTGAGTAATTCAGCCTAAATGATTTAGTCAACCAAACCAAAGACTATCATGAAGAGGAAAGGCCAGATAAACCAGGCTTTTGTAGCACAGGTTAATATTACAGTGTCCTATGTACCAAGCATGAAGCATGCCTCGTTGTAGTGAAAATAAACAAAAGGCTTGGCCTATAAAAGCAAGATTTTAATCTTTGTGTCTTCATCATGTCTGGCCTTGAATAGAGTAAGAAAAAAAAAAGATGCATGATGAATGGAATTTACAAATGTTTTGTCTGCTCACAAAGAGAGGAAGTATGTCTCCCATTTTTGTGTCATTGTGCCTGGTGTAGAAGCTCTTGGAAGGATGGAGAGTGAATAAATGAAGCATGGGTATCGAAATCAGCTTTATTTGGATATAACCTGCAAAATTATAAAGCAAAATTATAAATCAGGATGTAGGTATCACAGTGAATCTACTATATAAATATCCATTCCAGATACTGTATTTTATACAATAACTGTGCAAGCTCGGAAACTTACACATGATAGAATGAGGGGTGTGGGCAACCCCAGCTGCTGAAGTAGCTAAAAATGATACTAAGTGTCTCAAAAATATTTTCCAGTATTTCTATTAGTAGAAAAACATAGAAATGAAAGATGTGGATGTATTTCATGTTAATCTTTGCTATAAGCAGATGGCTTTGGATGCATATCTGGATGCTTGTGCATGAAGTCAACATCCCATCTTCCATATGCATATATCCATGCATATCTGGATGCATATCCCTTCCTACATTGTGCTTTAGAGAAAACTAGTCAGGCTGGTGGTGTGGTGGGAAAATAAGTAGTGATTCCTATTTGAAAACTGTTAGAAGATACCTAGAATTTTACCCTTTAGCTCCAATCACAATACTAAGAAAAATATATGAAGATAAGTTAGCTGTTTTTAGGGTCCATTATTTAATCCAAAGGTTAATAATTTAGAAATAGAAGATTTCAAACCAGGCTTAAAATCCTCCATTGGAAGAGGTAATCCATTTGATTTTATTCAACAGATTTATGATCTCTAGTTTGGAATATTCTATGTAGGCCAATAATTACACTTCCATAATTTGGAGTTCTCACTAATAAGGTTGTAAACTGTCTGCTGAGGCTACTTTGTAATTTTCCATATAATGTCTTGCTTCTTTTGTCTTTGCATGAAGGGAAGAGGGACAATGTCTCCAAAAACACTGACTCTTTATCAAATAATGGCTACAAAAATTCTAACCACTAGGGGGTTTGTGTGTGTGTGTGTATTTCTGTATGTTACATATGTATATGTGTATATACATGCATATATATATATATACATATATATATATATATATATTCGAGCTATGGTCTTGTTCTTTAACTTAGAAAACAAAAGAGATGATAAAGAAGAAAATGAGACAAAGCCACACAAACTGAGCCTTAGAGAGGCTAAGGGGCTAAGCTATTTATTCATCAGATTGGCAGAAACTGCCGTGACCAAGGCAAGCTCACCCACGCAAACTCCCAGGGATCCTGAGTCAAGCTCTTCACACATCATATCCATTAGCACGTGATGAATAAGAAGGAAGCCTAGGTTGGCACACACTATTTTAAAAGTGCTATTCACCAGCAAATATTTAATATATATGTACGTATGTATCTGAAATCATCCTAATGAAATGATCAGGTTTTTGCATTTGATGGCCAAAGTGACCTTGAATGTTAGCAATGTCATTGGCTATTACCAAGAGTAGTATCAATAATTCTCCAATGATAAACTGTAAAGGGAAAAACTTAAAGAACAATAAATTAAATATTTTATGCTCCCTTCATCCTGTAATCTTACGTCAAGGGTTTGAACAAAATACAGAACAGTCACAGGGTTGTGAAGGGGACTGCTCATTCCAAGAAGCCTTTATCCCACATCAAGGTTACAACTTCAATGAGTTTCCATTGGCTGAGTGATTGCATAAATTAATGCTATTCAGAACAGCTTTAACTTGCACAGCTGACTTGGGAAATGTGTGACTAAGCTCCTAAATTGGCATCGAAGGAAGGCACATTTGCGGGAGTTGCCGAATCTCTGCACCACTTACTGCCTTTCATCCCCTCTCACTTCCTGCCATTATCATTATCACTTTCATCAAAGGCAGCTGAAGTTTCTCCTTCAAAATCAAAAGCCCTTGGAGAACAATCCTGCCTTAAAGCTATGGGCCGCTGAAAATGTGTTGTCCCTTTCATTTACATTTTGATTAAGTCAAAGTCTCTTAATTTGGGCCATTGTCGATACATAAATCTGTAGAGAAAATGAACATGCATTTATAATGCAACCAACATGACATGATTTACTGTTCTTATAAGGTGTAAATACAGAAGGGAGGGGGGGAAAAGTCCAGCTCTTAGTTCCCCTGGACAGCACTGCCAGAGACTAACGGGGCGACTCACGTCCTCTGTGAAGGCGAGCCTCAAACTCCGCAGCTTCGTCTCATTATTATTTCAACTGCGCTAGGTCTCCAACTTTAAAACCATCAAACATAAATCTGTCTACTCTACTTCACCGATCTTCCCGTGGGAAGGTTTGTGAGTGGTAAAATGAAAGGCTCAAAATGGGTTTCCATACCTGATTGTGGACTTTGTTTGGGGATTTTGGCTACCGCTTGAGGGCTGGATGTGGAGTGCATTCGCTGGTTGCCAGAGCTGTGGATGCCGCTGGGAATGGCCACTGAGACATTCTTGCGAGGCTTCGTATCCTGCAGCCACATGGGCGAGGCTTCGAACGCCTGCATCCGCCTAGCATGGCTGTTGGCATTGACTTTCAAGTAGGCCTGGGCTTTGTGTTCCTGCAGCTCTCCGTAATTAGCATCTGTCACCCTGCATTCGTATAAGCCTTCATCCTTTTTCCTCACTTTGGAAATCTGAAGCTTGTGAGAGATGTCATTGCCTTGGACTTTCACTGTCTGAAAAATTGCAGGTGAAAAAAAATAAAGCACTACATCAAACGATTTTGTTCCCATACTTGCTCCCAAGCTTGCTAATGTTGGGAAATTAAAGGGGCTTAACAGCCTCATAGCCACAGTCAGAGAGCTATTTATTTTTTCAACAGTCTGATACGAAGGTCGTATTTATCCCATTGCACTAACAACTGGCTTCACAAAATCAAGGGATAATTAGTTCAATCCAGCCAGTGCCAGATTCTATTAGCCACGTGGTCCCCAGATCCTAGGTTGCAGGTCTGCCATTTTCCAACCATGGGATTGACCTCTGCTTGGTTAGCTCCGTTGAATGAAGCACAAACATAAATAGGTAAAGGACACAGTTTGTACAGCCTCTTGTCTTCACTGCAGGCAACAACTCTGAGAGATCACAAAAATACATTCTTGGTGACAACAGGGTTTAAGTGAGAATGTTTTTATCCCCACATTGGGGCTGCCTCACTAAAGGTACTGACACAAGGCTTGAATAGTAAGTATTCTTCTCAGATGTTTGGTGCAGGCTTGCCAATAGTCATGCGGTGGCATGACTCAGGGTGCAGATTAATATCACCTCATTTTATGGCCAAAGTACATACCCCCATCAATGATAGGTCCTTATGCTACTGGAGCTAGATACCATCATTCAGATGCTAGTTTGATTTTCAAGAGAGAAACTGGCTTTCTTATTTCTTCTAATAGCTTTTATGCCAGAGTAATAGCAAAATTATGTATGAATGTAATATATAAGATTATATATAATTTTATATTATGTCTAATATACATATACACATATATATCCACAACTATCTTTATCAGAACAGCTAGATTTTATATACATGATATATTATCCACCATTGACAGATGATGGGTTTCATAAGACACTCAGGATTTAAGGATTTGGATGATTTTCAAAGGCAGAGAAAAGTGAAGAAGGCATACACTTTCAAGTGGCCACAAGTAATTAAGAAAACTTGGGAAGCATTCATCTGCTTTTTACATACAGAGATGTATACAAACAGTGTCCAACATTTGAACCATAACCACAGTATGTATTTATTTGTATGCAAAATTATGTATAACTATACACTAATAATGGGGATTAAGAGTGTCAGATAGAGTCAGTTGAGTCTCCTAATAAAGTTTGAAATAGCTGGAGTACTTATATGATTATTTTCTTACAGTAGAGTAAACTGAGATTTGGGCATTTGGCCCCATGATTCTCAGCACTGACTGCACATTAGAATCCTCTAGGGAGCTGTTAGAAGATGGTCTCATTTGGGTTAATGCAGAAACATTAAGTGTGCATCTCAAAGGGGTGACACTCCTGTCCGTGTTCGGTAAAAGAATTCCTGAGAATTCTAAGCTAACAACCGCTGGTTTAAGACACTTGACATGACCAAGGTCACTTTGTAGGTAAACTGGGAACAAACTACTTTCTACCTCAGTTTATAATGAGAACTTTTGCTGCTGATTCACTACATTTTACTAACTTTTGGCATAGATAATACTGTTAGGGGCTGTATGCAGTAGCTGAGCGCATGACCATGTATCTTAACTGTATGCTTCCTCAGTTCAGGATGTGTGAGGCTCTTTTCCTTACTGCTTCTTGGAAGATATAGGCATGGGTGAAGGGTGAAACTTGAATAGTCTGTAAACAATCTAGCCACATATACATGTGTATAAATGAAATATTTAAGAAAAGTATTGTCAATAATTTTACCAGTAAGCCTTTCTAGTACCATATGAAAACAATAATTGTGTGATATCATAATAATTGCATTGAACTATCCCAAAGTCAGTAAGTTTATGAAGACAAATTGTAGTTTTTTTGGTTTCTGTCTTCTTTTTGTTTGATATTTGTTTCCATGTTTAGATTATACATTTACATTTGATTCTATTACTACGATATATTTTTATACTTTTGGTTGTGATATAACTCCAACTTTATACCACGTTTTTGCTATTGTAACAGCCTCAGAATAAATTTTCTTTTTTTTAATGTAAGTCATTGGATTTTTAGATTCCTAAAATGAATAGATAAACAATAGGATGTAATTTATTTTATACAATATTATTTTCATATTATGAAAATTATATATAATATATAAAATATTAGGCATTTTATAATTTATATATATAATTGTTTTATAAAAGAATTCCTGAGCATATATACATGCTAAGTAGCCCTGTACTTCCTCATTATATAACTATTTCTAGTAATGGAAACTTCTCTATTACTTGTAAATGATTGAGGCAGTTCTATCAAAATAAAGTGATTCTAGGAGGCTTCAGTTGTGGTGTAGTAAAAGAATACAATTTTCTTTTTATTTACAATTTCACATAGAATTATTAAAAGTAATAACCAGGACAGTTGAAATGCATCTCGATATTGTCAATAGGTCAACCTCCTCCATTATGTTTTATATTTATATTGGCTTTGGCTGTATATGGTTTTGAACACTGGCATTAGAAATACACTGCATGCATTTTGAATCACATTGAAAACTGAGTGTTTTCAATACAATTTCAACATCCTGTTGGATGCTTTAATTTTTTTCCTGCCTAGGAAGATTTCATAAGTTAGTGTTTTACTTCATATTAAAGGATAGTTATTTCTTTGATTTTGAATGAAGATTAACATTGCAGCCCTACAGTCTTACAACTATTCAACGTTAAAAAGAGTGAGAAGAAAAAAAAGCCCGTCACACTCTTTGGCAGGCAAAATGAGTCTTTAGTAATTGCTTAAATAAATACGATATTAAAGTAATTTCATTGTATCAACTTTTCATCTGCCTCAATTTTTTTGGACCGTGTGAAATAAGAAAGAAAAAACTGGCTCTGCCCTACGTTCGCGAGATTGCCTTTCTCAGGCACAACTCGCTAAAGGCTTTTTTAAAAACCTAAAATTGACTCTTTTTCACCTGGGCCTGCCTGGCAGCTGACAAAGGCACGCGCCCCCTGTCGCCTGTCGCTGTGATACTCACGCTGATCTTGGTCCCGTCGTTGTCCGGGTCTCGGTCGGGCACCAGCTCCGCCTGCGGGAGAAGGAGGCGACGCTCGGACTCGGGACCCCACGGTCCCCGCCCGGACCCCGAGCGCGGCGGCGCGGAGCCAGCCCGGCCCGGCGGGGGGACCGTCTCCGCCGGCGCGGTTCAGAGAAGACGCGGACGCGGCTGCGCGCGGGCAGGGGGGGGGTCCCCGCCGCGCCGGGCCGCCAGGGGGCGCGCGCGCCAGCGCAAGTTTGCGGGGACGGGATTCTGCGTCTCGGCCCGGCCTGCGTCCCCTCCCTGGGGTCTCTGCAAGATTTCCTTTTTTTCTCTTTTCTTTTCCCCCCCCCGCTCGGATAAGCCCGCCGCCTCTTTTGCTGGACTGCGTAGTCTCTGCTCGGACCCCCCTTTCCTCTCTCGCCAATTCTTCCCTTTTCCTCTCCTCCTTTTCCCAGCTCCTACGCGGCTCCTCCACACCTCCCCTCCTCTTCTCACCCCACCCCTGCACCCCCTCTCCCACGAGTCGCCTCGGGCCCCTCCACCATTCGCTCCCCAGTTCCTCCCCCTTCGCACCCCTTCATCTCCTTCCTTCTCTCCCCGCCTTTGTTCCCCCTTCCCTCCCTCCCTCCCTCGCCCGCCTCCACCTACCCCTCCTCCTTCCCCTTCTCTCTTCCCCTCCCCCAATCTCTTTTCTGCCAACCTCAGTCTACAGAATTGACTGTGCGTGTGTGTGCGTGTGCGTGTGTGTGTGAGTGTGTGACGGAGACAAGAACAATCGCTCCGCGCCCCGCCGTCCCGGAAAGGGGCGAGGATTTCCTGGGAGGTGTCAGTGCATCCACACAGTAGTCGTGTCCGGACAGCTCGTCCGCCGCCGGCACTCGAAGGAGGAGGCCCTTCCTTCCCAGTTTTAACCCGGGAAGGCCCCTCCTTGGTTTTAACGTGATGCCGGCAGGGCACGCGCCTGCTGCCGCCTGGCGTTCCGGGCATCCCTGGCGGCGCCCGGCACCCGCGAGGGCACCGAGCTGGACGCCGAGCCGACTCAGGGCGTGGGTGCGACGGACGCCGGGGGCGCCGCGGGCGACGCGACTCCGCTACCTGCGCGCCGGCCACCTCGGCCGCGGGCTCCAGGTCCTCGGGCCCCCGCAGGAACCACCACTGGATCTCCAGATACACCGAGGCAGAGCCGCTCTGGAAAGCGCAGGACATCTCTACATTCTGCCCCTCGGTCGCCGTCACGTTCCGCGGAAACTCGGTGAATTTTGCTGCAAAACAGAAATGCATCGATGTTGGAGAAATGCATCGTGTGGCACACGACCCTCGCCAGCTTCTCTTTCCTTGAGAGCTCGCTACGTTTTTCTGGGACCTAAAAATAGGGGGGGGGGGCAACAAAACCCTTCCGTGACATCTCGGACTTTGCCGGGCTCCCCCCTTTCCTTTGCCTTGTTCCTGTCTCGTTTTGGGAATCATGCCTAAATAACTTTGTTGTTGATGAAGTCCGGATAATGGAAAGGCTAACAAGCTTGCCAAATAACTCCCCTCTGTTAGCCAGCATGCCCACATACCTTTTGTCAGACTGCAGCACTACCCAAAACTTACACAGGGATTGAGTGAGCTCAGTGAGCTCCATTTTTGACAAATCTGTCAAGCTGATCTATGAGGAGAGCCTCTTGCTCTAAGTTTCTAAACAACGTATGACTAACTGGATGTTCGTGTAACAGAGAATGGATCATGATCACCTGTCAAAATGCACATTCCTGATATATCAAAGCAATGATTAGCAATTGCAATTTTAAGACCACAGCAGTGAAAACAAGTTGCACACATTCTAAGCTGTGAATATTTCTTTCTTCCTAGATTCACCTTGATTTTTGTTCTCCTCAAGCCACCGCACTGTAAATTGCTGTACATCCCGACATGTAAGAATCTCACCCCTCATTTTAGTTCAGATTAAAGACTGTTTTGAAGTCACCAGAGATGTATATTTTTTCAGTCTTTTCCCTAACAGTCTTGACACTGCTACTCTGCAAAATTCAGAGTTAGGCTGAAACTCACAGAAATGAAACGTTCCCCTTCTCCCAAAGGCATTTCTTCAACATGGAATGCTTTGGGTATTCTTATCTTGTCTAAGGGACACTTTGCAAAGAACTGGTGTTTGCCTGAAAGTAGTCTTAGAGAGATTTGTGGCTGACGAAAGTGCACAGCTACAACGCACACTCGTGGACAGGAGGGTGGGGGGGCTGTAGGACTGATTTTGGGTGGATGCTCTTTCCCCCCCACTTTTTAAAGAGAGACACCATCAGCGTCTCTTTTCAAAATTTTGTGAAATACCAACACGATCTCTACTGAAGTGGAACTGCATTTATACTTAAAGGAAGTAGCAGACGTTAAGGAAGATATCCTGCTCTGAAAAGGACTTTGCTGTTGAAGCTGGAAGGAGGAAGATGGCATTTCTGCTCGCAGAAGTGATGCAGTCTTCTGGCAGCAGCGATGTGATCTGTTCGTGGTGCTGAAATGATCACTGCAGCCTGCGAAGTCCTGAACAACTGGATTCAGCAGGCTGCTGCTGCTGTTTGTAATGCAAGTCGTGCCTTTTTATGGGTCCTCAGAGCAGTCCGTCCTTTGATAAATACACATGCAAACGAAGTCCCAAGGACCCAGAAAAAGGAAACTCTAAACCAATTCTGCCTACTCTGAGGACTGGCAATGGAGAGCCCGCAACCCCAGCTCTGTTTGTTTGCGATGATTATGTATGCATGAGTGGTTACCCAGTGCATGCACACCAGATACAAGGCACACACACACACACACACACACACACACACACTCCTGTGTTTGCGCTTGCACAGGAACCCACTTCATTTTCAGGCACCAACTACATTTGCTCTCAAATCTAGCTTGCCTACTATTTAATAAACTTTAAAGAAAAATGCCAAACAGAACACTATTCCACTGTTACTTGCTAAGAATCTCACTACATCCGCTTGGCCGTTCTTTGAATGTAGACACACACACACACACACACACACACACACACACACACACACCCTCCTCAAGCAACTGTATATTTACCAACGAGCACAGACTTACCTTGAGAAGACAGCCCTTGTTGTACATACAAAACGGAAAAGAAAACAAATCCAACATACGCCAAAAAGATCCCCATCATTCCAAAAAAAAAGGGGAGGGGGGGTCACATCAGTGATCGGTGTAGCCGACAGCCAAAAAGCCCTGAAAGAAAGGAATGCAAATGTATCAGAGGCTCAGTCTCGGAGCCCTGGGCGCGACACTGCAAACATCCTGGGGCTCGTTCGGCGAGGACCGGCTTTGGGGAGAGGGGAGCGCAGTTCGCGAAGGTTAAAAGCGGCTGGCTCTGATTCGGAGAGGCTTCGAGTCCGCACTCGGGCTTGCAACGCGGGGAAGTGCCTCGGCTGCTTCGCTGCCCGCTCTCGGCTACCTGGCAGCCCGTCCCACGTCAGCCCGCTGCTCCGGCTTGCGTGATCGCCGCCCTCCCCAAACGCCGAGCCAGCCCGGGAAGTGGGGAGTGGGCACGGGGGGCGGGCCGCAGGACTTCACGGGCTCGCCGCGCCGCAACTTTTCCCTCTAATGGCTGCGATGATGCCTTTAACTCTGTGCGCGCCGGGCAGCTCCCCACCCGCCGGGGCTCGGGCCGGGCGGCTCCGTCTGCGTCTTCCTTCTGAAGAGCGGGAGCATTTATTTTTTTCCCAATTTGCTGCCCCCCCCCCCCCCCCCCCCCCCCCCCCGCCATCGACTGACTCTTTCTTTCCGCGGCAGACTGGATCCCTTGGTGCTCAAGACGACAATACAGTTGTAGGATTGCAGCGTCGGATTGCTGGGGGCTGGGAGCGGGAGATTTGGGGGATTTGGGGAGGAAGTTGGGGCAGTGCTGAAGAGGAAGGGAGGCGTGGGATGAGGTGAAGGAGACCGCTTTAGGGCCATGAAAACGGTCATTTGAGGGAAATGTCGCTTAACCAGTTATTAACTGCTTTAACAGGAATGATCACATGCTGTTATTCCTCACGAATTTATTGCCGAGCAGCCTCCAGTGCGGGAGAAATAGCTCATGCAGGCAACATGCAGCTCTAGCTGGCAAACGGAGAAGAGCAAAAGTACGAAAAGTCACGTACTGAGAGAATTTTCCAGAAAGAGAAGCCCACCATACTACGATTACTTCTATTTTATTATTATTTTTTTAAGAATTCATATGCCCCTCTGCCTTACGTGTTTCCATCTCACTCGCATTTTGGAATGGGGGAGGGGCTTTAAAAAACATTAAGGTCTCCATTGCACAATTCTTCTTTTTGTTTATTTGCTTTTCTTTCGCATTACAATAATTATTTAATGCTCTCTAGGATTATATGAATAAGGAATATTATTTTAGGGGGAAAAAAAGCAAAATTAGTTTTAGAATTGGAAACAAATCTACTTATTTGCCCTGGAGAAGGTTTGAGATAGAGATATTCTATTTCTTATTAAGAATCTAAAAACAGTATATTAAAGACTCCCCATTTGTCCTTATGAAGTCCAACCATTAGCCAGTGAATTTAAATCTTTTTAACAAAATTAAAATCATTTGCTATTGAAGCAGAATATCAGATATTTTCTTCCCATTATTATTTCTATGCAACTATACCACAAATCTTCAGTATTATTTGGAAATATGACTCAGCCTTAACAACGCTGTCAGGAAACCAATGCAGTGTATGCATTTTCATTTTACTGGTAAAAAAATGTGTAGTTGGCTAATTCCTTCACTGGCCAGAAAAAAAAAATTAACCATAATATAGCTGTTGGGTTTTTAAACCACTTCCCCTTCTACTGCTGAATGCAGCAATAACTTAAATGATCAAAAAACTAAGACACAGTAAGTTCATAACAGTATTATTTTTTTTCTGAAGATATATTTAGCTTTCACTGTGGGTAGAGACAGAATATAAGAGTTATAAGATTTGAAGAAGGTCATGGGGAATGTTTTACATTTGTTCATGTTTAGGCCAATAAGAGTCTCTACCCTTCTTGCACTGAGCAAAGAACTCTGAAGTATGTCATTTCAAGGAAAGAAGTCTCTTTATGCCTAAATACTTTCTCAAGGAGAATATGTTTAGCCTAGACACACAATCCAAGTTAACATACTTGCCCCATACTTAACGTTATTTGGAAAATAAACAAAACTTTGCAGGTATTAGATCCTCAGAGGTTAACTTTAAATTTATCCTTAACAAGGTATGTTCAATGTTTATCTCATGGTTTTAGCTTTACTTGAACATTTAACATAACCGTGAGATTAATATGTCATGAAAATGACCTGACTTCAAGGTTATCTGCTGTTAGAACAGTTTCCAGTATAAAGAAAAGGGCATCCATTTTAAGCAAGGGAAGTTCTGAATTAATTTAGCAAAGCGCTTCAATTTGTTTTAAGGGAAATTTGATCATTGTAACTGTAGAAGTGCAATAAAAATAAGGTGAAAAGTGTTTTAAAAAAAGCTTTTATGGGACAGATAAACTATCAAACTACTTTATAAGCATTTAAGCAACAAAGGAAAGACAAAAAGAAGAAGAAAAAAGAAACAACGAAGACAAATTTGGAAAGGGATTTCCTTTTTTTCTTAAGGAAAGTGCCTGATGGATATTTTATTTTCAGTTTGCCAGGGTAGACCAATAATTTTATCCGAAATATCAGTTTCAAGGACAGTATATAGTGCTGGCAAACAAACTTGCATTATTTCCTTTAGAACATTTCCCTTATTGAGGACAAAATATCTCTACATTAACAGTTTGAAATGATAAGAAACTTTAATTAAAAAGTAAATATATCTCATATATCAAATGTCACAGTTCTGAGACAAAGTCCCACTGTTTTTACTAAGTCCTTGTAAAACACCACATTCTTCTATAAAATTGGTGGCAACTTGCCAAGACTTGTTTGCATCCAGAAATGGGAGAGACATTTTCTTCCCATTTCTCCTTTCCCAAAATGATCACTGATGCCTTCCCCTATAAAAATGACTGCAAATCTCTTCTTAAAACAAACAAGTAAACAAAAACCTATCTATGAACTAATGCTCCAAAAATAAAATCTTACAATCTCATTTTTAAAATTGTTTTCTTGCCTTCTAAACTAACTTTGGTTAATTTTTTTTTTGCTATTTTAAAATTTAAATATTTGTATCACCAGAGCTATTTTTCCTCTGAAATATGTAATAGGAATACTTATTTGAATATGCTCCTTCCTCAGGTATAATTCAATCTGTTTGAGTTCATTCCATTGCCTTCACACTCTTTTCTTGTATACAAAAACTTGTTTAACTTTATCTTTCAAACGCTGCTGCCTTATGATGTCCACAACTTCACACACACTTTCAGAGCCTTTGATTCACCAAGAGCTAACTAAGCAGAAGGGGAGTTCTTCAAGGTCTGTGATTATAAACTAGATTGGCCTTTTCTAGAGGATCTTGGGGCATCTGTGCACCTTGAACTTGATGGAGACCACCATATTTCACTTCCAAAGGCTCAAGATAAAATTGCTTTCATATTCCATTTGCATAATCTGTCCTAAATTGAGGTTCATGTGCCCAATGTAAACTTTTAAAATTTTCTAAACAGTTGGGAGATACAAGATTAAGTATTTTATTTAGAAACAACCTTCTTCAAATAAAACTAAGAAATTGGAAGGTCATCCTCATGGATATAGAAACCTAAGCTTCATTTCTTCACCTCTCTGGCAGGCAAGGTTAGTTGAGCAGCTCATACTTTCTCATGCATGCACCTAGAGGTACATTCTACTGTGTTCTCAAACATGGCCTTTGGAGAACCTCACAAACTGTATAGAAGAGAATATTTCAGGATATTGAGGCATATTTTCACCTGTCACCTCATGCCTGGATTATTTATTTTTCACTTGAGGAATCTTTAGATATGGAAGCAAAATAAAAACCCCCCACAGAGAAACTCTTTCAACAGAAGAAATTAGGAGTCTGGGAGAAAACGCTAACTCATATTAAGGAAAGATAAGCTTTTAAAATTTGTTTTCTGTTGAATTGTAGAAGCTGATGCATTGGTAGTGCTGGCTTTACTGGTCTCCTCCACATCTTACATTTCCAAAGATGTGAGAAAGTCAAGGACAAGATAATAGCCACAGAAACAATAGAAATAACATCTCTTGCTGTATATGTATAAAGTATGTCTCCCTAAAATGAATGAATTTCAGAAATGGAAATGGAAATGGACCCTAGTAAGCTATCAATCCAAACTGTTCATTCTACAGATGACAGGCCAGGGGACTGCAAGTGATGGCCACTCATTTGATAGATAAAACTAAATCAAGACTTTCTTTCATTAAGATCCCAAGATCTAAAATGCTTTAAACAAAGGATTAAGGATTACATAATGTAAGGCAAGCAAACAAAACTTGTTCACGCTCTTGGTTCTACAGGTTATGCTGGAAAAGTGACCACTAGAAAGAAGTGGTCACTTACCCTAGATGCTGGTAAGCAAGTCACTTGAAATTCAAGACTCTGAAAATAGTCTTTGAACCTTCTCCACATAATTTCTGGTTGTCTCATATCTTGCATCTCATAAAGCAAATAATTCAGAGAGGGAGAATAACCAGTGGTCATTGGAAATGATCAGTATTTTAAATAGCCAGGTGGCCTATATTGACTACCCCTTACATGGCTACTGTTCATTTTAATCTTCCACAAGTAATTTTCCCCTTTATTTTTTTCCTTTAATGCATGACCAAGATAGAAATTACTTAGATCTAGCTTATATTCTGTGAATCTCAATGTAACTTTGTAGTTGAAGTTCACAAAGTCAGACCTCAAATTATTCATGAGGTCATGTTATGTCATTTTTAAACTGTAATATCTGGTCTAAATATGACCTCTGGAAACAGCAAAAGGAAGCTTCACATTTTCTGTAAAAGCTAATATGATGATCTGCTTAGATGTCCTCCACAAAACTCTTGGATCCTTCCATTCACCTTTTTTAGATTCAAATGGGCTCATAATCAAACATAAGTTGTATCTATTAATTTCTTCATTAGTAAAAAAGCTAACATGAATATTGGGTGCCTACCCTTAGTGAAAAATCTGAGGAGAATATAGCTGGAAGCTGTGAAGTTAATAGAAACAAAACGTGACGATCACGTAGCTGCATCTTCTATCTGGAATGTTTTTTCTGCCTTCAAAATTATACTGTAGTTGAAACTCGGGGTTTGTGGTATTTATTAATACCACAATATATGCTTTTTTTCCATTAAAAATCCCATGGGTTTGATTAGACATGAATAACTATATTCTACATCTATTTTTGTGTAACAGATAATTATTTGGGGGGAAATAAACCCAAAATACAAGAAAGGCAACAATTTTTGGTAGAGTCTATAATTTCTATGCCTGTCCATGCTTCTCTGACTACATTTATAATATGAATGAAAGTAAATAATAACTTATAATAATACTATTGGA